TACCAGCACTCCTTCACGGTGTGGCCGGTGCGCTAGCAAATCGGGCATCTTTCTTTCTCCTTGTCTTTGTGGGTGTCTTTGCCCTTTCCTTCCTTGCGTTTCCCGCCTTTTCCTTTTCCTTTGGGGTCCTTCTCCCCCTTGCCTTTGTTGTCTCCCTTCTTTCCCTTGCTGTCCTTGCCGCCGTGGTCCCCTAGCTTGCCAATGCCCATGGCATCCGGGTCGTGGTGTCGGCGGCCGGCCGGCTGCCTAAGCGCCCGAGGGCGTCCACACCCTTTTTGCCTGCAGGTAAGAAACCACGAGGCCACGCACGTCCTTGTATTTGGTGAGCTTTCCCGCCGTCATGGCGAGGTTCTGCTTGAGCGCGCTAAGCGACTCAACCATGAGGGGCGCACGCTTGTCCTCATCCGAGATAGCCTTTTTCCACCCCGAACTCTGCCTCGTACTTCGCGAGGTCGCTTGAGGGGAACCTTGGGCTGAGCAAGGCCCGCCGCCAAATCAAACCGCGGTTCGCCTGTTCCGGATGAAACTCCCGCCACAACTGCCTCCAGAGTAGGAATCCATCCTACCGGCGTATCCCGCGCGCGATTTTCAAGGCTGCGAGGCACTCGCTGCACTCGCTCACCAAGCTCAGCAGCATGCCGAAGAGTTTCACGCTCAGCTGGCGGTGCTCTTCCGACTCAACCACCTCATCGGTGGGTTCTTCCCTTCGGGCCTCTTCGAGGTGACCCGGGGACGAGGAGTCGACGAGGGCAGCGTACGTTTCGAGCTGCCACACAAATCGCTCCCAGTCGTCTTGGTTCCTGAGGGGCTTAGGGGGCTTAATGGCTTACTTAAGCAGATCTACCCCGTTCAACTGTCCAGCGAAACTACCAAGTCCCGCCTGTACAGGTGAAGCGCTACCTACCACTACCGCCGGTGCCGCCGCGCTGCTGGCGGTTCCACCCGCTGGTGTGGCGGTGCCTCCCGCTTGCGCTTGCTGGACAGCGGGCAACTGCGCCTCCAGACGCTGGGTCCTTTCCTGGGAGGCCCCCAGCATCATTTGCATCTCACGGTGAGATGCCTCGGCCCGTTGCAGGGCCGCCGTCAGCTCAGCAAGTTGCCGGCCCACGGCTGCCTCCGTAGGCTTTCTATGGCGGCAGAGCCTAGAATCGAGCCGGCGGTGCTACCCGCTACGGCTTTGTTGCGCGGTCGCGGTCTTGGGTCCCTTGGTGGCGGAAAGCGCCCTTGCGGCTTGCCCTCGCTCTCCGAGGACTCCAGGCGCACTGCACGAATGCGCTCGGCCTGCCGGTCGGCAGCCGCTGCCTCTGCAACTGGCACGGAGCTTGTTTCAACCTCCGCTGTGCTCGAAGAGCTTTCCGAGGAACTTTCGCTGGAGCTTTCGGCGGGGCTCCCCGCTTCCGTGGAGAAGCCCGGCGCCTCCTGCAAGACTACAGGGACAGGGGGGGAAGTGTCCAAGCTGGACTCTGAGGATTCTTCCTCGTCCTGGTTGTCTCCTGGCGCTGGCGGGTCCACCCGCTCCCCTTGGAATGGGGATTATCGAGCCTGCGTTTTTGTCCGCGCTCGCTCCTTTGTTGTTGTTTCTGGAAGCTTCTGACACCGCGAGTGTTCTTTTTCTTCCACTCGCCGCCTTTCCAAATCCACTCTGGTGAGGCTCTCTCCCACCACGGTTTCCCGCCGTTTGGCGGGTCCCGGCTGCCACGTGCCGGTTCCGCTGGGGATCTACTTCTGTTGCCCCCGAGGAATTTGCGAGGGTCCTTCAGCACCTTGCGCCACTCCTTGTCATTCGCAGGCATGTCCAACGTGATGGCATAGATACCAGACCCAGCCTCCTCCTCAGAAAACATGAGCTCCCCGTGCTGCACGTGCCAGGGCCGATCTTCTTGCTCATGTAGTCGCCGCTGTTCTCGGAACTCGGAGGTTCGGGAGGAAGGTAGGTACTGAGGATCATGAAGGAGGCGGTCAACATCAATCTCAGAAGACACGGAACCAGTTGCCGCCCCGGGCTCACGAAGTCGAGGAGCTTTCCTCATCTCGGCGTCCGGAATCATTTCCTCATCAGATCCCTGAGGATCCGAGCGAGCTTCTCGAGGACGCAGAGGTCGATCCGCAGGTGGTAGTAGATGAGGTGGGGCATCTCCTGGGCGCCGCCGAAGTCCTCTCTTCTTGCGACCTAGCATCACATTCCTCGACGTTCGGGCCCTGGTCTCATCATCGTAAGACCCCTTGTCAAGGAGCCGAGTCAAAGAGGTCATTGTCCAGGGCATAGTCATGTCCCTCAACGCCTCATGAGTCAGGCGCTCGCTGGGAGAAGCGTGCCGGAGCTGGGTAGAGTGGAACTTCTTCAACCTTCCACTGCAAATGGCCCAAATGTACTGGGAGGGTTTGCGGTACCCTTCCTCAGTCTTGGTCTCGCACGCAAGCACTCGTGCGGGTCCATACCAACGAGCTCCTCGAAGGCGGGGACGGTCCACCCATGAGTTGGCCGGAAGGTCAGCTGGAGTTTTATGTCGACGATAAAAAACCATATCCGTGGGAAAATATCGCACCTGCACTCGAACCTTGGCATTCTTGGCACGGGAGGCAAGCTGGTCGGCTCGGTGCTTCAGGAAGGCCTGCTCAGCCTCCAATCGAAGATTACCTTGGTTGTTGAAAGTCGTGGTCCGAGTCGAGGAGATCTGGTCGCCCGGGGCTTCTGTGACTCGTTGCCCCAAGGACATGTCTCGGCCCAAAGCCCACTGCAGAGGAGAAAAACCATGCACCCGGGCCAGACTGTTGTGGGCGGTGACAGCCGCCAAAGCTGCCTGCCCAGGTCTCTCGAAGGCTCCCCCGCGAAGGAAGCGTTCCAGGTGCTGTCTTACATAACCGATCTCCCTTTCAACATCAGCAATCATCTCGTGGTACTCTGCCGGGGCCGGCACAAGGTCGATCCCCTTGTCCGCACAGGCTTCATGTAGAGCCCGGCTGCGTAGAGCACCTTCCAAATCCAACTTCATAGTATCTGGATACCCAAAGTACTGAAACCAGGCTGGGAGAACATCTCCCGCACAACTGCAAAGCCGCTGGCCTCGTCCACCATGAGGAGGAAGTGGTACACGGTGGCACCACAACGTAAGTGGAACCCATCCACCTGCAAACATGACCACAGCTTTTCACACTTATCCAAGTTCACGGCTGGCGAGGGCATCTTGATCTGGGACTCCAAGCACTCATCACACTCCAGCTGGGACGCCGCTGCCACCACCTTTTCATCAGCATTGCGGTAAAGGAGGTTCTTGACCAGGAGGCGGTTGGAAGGATGTCCGAAGCGCCGGTGTAGTTGATGAACATGCTGCATCAGACGTTCCAACTCCGAGGAGGTGAGGGTGTTGAGGCAGCTGGTGTCCACAGGGAAGACTGTGTCTCCTCCTGAGTCCAACATCCAAGCCGTCGCCACATCTGAGATAGTAGTCACTGAAGTCCAGAACTTGCTGGGGGAATTCCCCGGTCGGAGGTCGGCCACCTCCACGACATTGGATAAAACCTGAGGTTCAGGAGCCACTTGAAGTGAGGAGCCTCGGCCATGAAAGCTCCAAAACCGTTGCACCTCGCGGACTGAAGAGGCCAGGCTGTCAGCAGGAATCAGCCACATCAGCTTTCCTCCCTTGATCAAATGATCCCGAGAGAGGAGAAGGACTTGTCGCAACACTTTTAAGTAACCTTTGGCCTTGAGAGCTCGCCGAGGATCATCCCATCCTTGCTCTCCTGCAAACAGCTGCGTGGGGCCGCGAGGTATATGGCACCACAACCACTCCGGCTTCAGGTGGTTGATTTGTTCCCGGGCTGAGAGAAAACCCGAGTGAGTGGACAAGTCACACCCTTCTTGGTGGGACAATCCCTGATATTTCCACTCCTGCTCTTGCAGCACTTGTTCCATGGACAAAGGGTCCAACCATGGGGTGCAGAGGTTGATCACCTTGGTGGTCTTCTCGTTGGGGTACTCGATGAAGATCTCCTTCAAGGCGCCCTCGAAGTCCTGGTAGGTAGCCAAGATCTCAGAGCGATCCTCAAGAGTGAGCTGCTCCACCTCCTGAACACCGTCGGGGTCCCCATCACCATTGGCCTCCTCCTCAAAGTTCACGGCTTCCTCTCCCACATGGAGGGGTCGTGCCGTGCTCGGGAGAGGGAACTGAAGCTGTCGTAGTGAATGAAGTACCTCGGAGTCCCTCTGAGCATCTGGCCAACTTCGAGCAGTATATGCAATCACCGAGTACCGGGTCCCGGTCCATGGAAGGGTCTTGTGGTAGCGCTTTGGAGAAAAGGTCGTAGGACGCCATCGTGTAGGGTGCACTTGGCCAGGGGCTCGCTTGCCGCCAGGAAGGTCTCGCCATGAGAGCGGAAGATGCGGTTCGGAAGGATCGCCGTCACGGAGTTCCACCCAAAGCTCTCCACCTTCGTAGGGGCCAAGTCCCACAGCCAGGTTGTAGGATGAGGCGTCGTTGTGGGCGTCCAAGTGCATCGAGCCCTTCATATTCACTAACACGCTCACAGACGTCCAGTGCATCACTGTCTCGGACTGCAAGTTCCGAAGACACGAATTGAAATAACGGCACATCGCGGGGTACATTCTTGAGGCTCGAGTGCACCCATAGTAGGAACCATGAGCATACAGGCCGAAGACGATAGCAAATCCAGCCTTTCGCCCTTGCACTGAAGATGCCCTTCCCGGTACAAACGTCCGAGGTTTCATCATTCCGAGGAGTTCCTCCATCGACTGGTAATCGAAGGCCTTCTGGGCAGTCAGGTAATCAGCAAAGGCCTCGACCTCGGAAGTGTTCAGCAAGGACACGAAATTAGAACTTTCGTCACCCTGGGCATTCACAATGATTGATCCAGCTCCTCTGCTGTCTGGGTGCTGGGTCTCGAAGCCTTCCGACCCGGGTGCCTGGGCAATTCTTCTGGATCCACCACAATCGTGCCTGGAGACATGGGGCTGGATGCTGTCGACTGCTGGCCTACAGGCATGTTCACAGGATCCCCGGTGTTCTTGCTGGATTGGTCTCTGGTCTTCGCTTGGTCCCCGGTGTTCTTGCTGGATTGGTCTTTGGTCTTCGCCTGGTCCTCGGTGTTCGCCGGCTCCACCAGCGTAGCCTGAGGTCCTGTTGTCTTGTTGCTTCCATCTTTGCGAAGACGTCGAAGATGCTCCAGCCGGGCCAGTGCTGAATTCTCGGCGGCGGTCAACGAGATCTCCTTGTTGCTCGGGTACGCCTCCGTCTCGGGAGGGAGATCCTGGAGGACACTGGTGACATCCTTTGCCAGGGGAGCACTCTTGCGATGGATGCCGTGCGTGGCATCCCATCCTCGGGGTGTACGTGAGCCTGATCTTGCACACCTCGCATCCAGTCCAACTCCCGAACTGGTTGCTGCCAGAGACGCTCCCCTTGTAGGCCTTCGCCACCTTGTGGTTCCCGAAGCACGGGCCGCCCTTCACCCTTGGGTCCCTCAAGCCTGGGCCCTCGGTCCGCTCCTCGTCGAGGGGATCGGCCACCTTCTTGGAGGCCTTGGTTTTGCCCGCCGCAGAGGCCTTGGCCACCATAGACAACGAGGTCGAGGCGCCTGCGGTCGTCCGAGGCGACGTCTGGGGCGGTCGTGTGGGCGAGCCATTGTTGCGGCACGACCTGTCCTTCGGCACCCACGGCCTCGCGGGCGACGCGTCAAGTCCCGATGGCATTGCAAGCTTTTCGGGTATCTTGCTTTTGACGTTTGCATTGCAGATAGAGCTGTCGAGGACCAGCCTTGGGTCCCGGCCTTCTGCCATGACAATGTTAAGCTTGCCAACTGCGGTGCGCTGCGGCCAGCGTGCTTCTGCGTCTGCAAGGGTGCCTTCGAAGGGCTTCACCCAGCCTTGCTCTATTTCCTTTGCTACGAGCTCATCTAAGAGTTGCGGGTTTTTCTCTGCCTGCGTCCAGTTGCCTTGGCAGTGCAGAAGGTGCATACCGTCTAAATCTGCATCGTCTATTGGGTGTTGTTGCTGCACTCATTGCATGCTAGATGGTATGGGCTCGAAGATGCCTGTGCTGACACCTTCTTCCAACATTGCACACAAACCTGTATCGGGATCTCCCGTGGCTTCCGCAAAGAGTCGCAGCAGTGCGAGTCGGAAAGGCTGGCCTTGCGATATACGCGTGCATTCTTTGCTTTGGCATCCCGGGTGCAGTGCTTCGTGTGCGATGCTGGTGATGCGTTGCTGTTGCTCCTCCGTGAAGGGGTGTGCATCCCTACCCTCGTGTATGTGCTCTACGAGGTGCAGGAGAAGATTTTCCGATGCAAGGTACTGTATCCACTGCTCAGATAATGTTTGTAGCTTGGTGTTGCCCTGCGGGACCGACTTGTCTGCAGCACTGTTAAGGCCCGCACCGTCGCAGACTGCTGGGCGGCGATGCTTGAAAGGACCTGAGCAATGCTGTCCAAAGTCCTGCCAGGGAACAGAGGCCGAGGCTCCTGGCGAAACCACCAAAGCGGCCAAGTCTGCAGCGGCCTGAGGTGATATCTTCGTGCCTTGCATTTGAGAAATTTCCTGCAAGGATGACA